AATATAAAAAGGCATACAATGAAAAGTAATCCTTACCCCACTTCCCCAGCCATCTGGTTTCTTTTTCAGAAGGCGACATTATTACCTATTTCTTGTGAATCCTTCCAAAAACATACTATACACTTATAAGCAAATACACACATACATGCTTTTTTTTTTATTAAACACATACGTCTATGGTAGCATGCTATAATACTGTTCTGCATCTTGCTTTTTTCTTTTGTTAACTGGGTTTCGGACATCCTGTCGTATCAGCACATAAAGATTTGAGGGGAAGGAGGGAGGAGGCAATGGGCACAAACCTAGATAACCAATACAATGAACGCTGCCCTGGTGATGGCACCTTATACCCCAGACTCAAGCATTATAGAAGCGATCCATGTAGCCAGAAACATTTGTGTCCACGTTTTTATTTTGAAATTACAAGAAAAAAAAAGATTTATCTCATTCTTTTTAATAACTGTATAATTTATTTGAGGGATATGTCATGATTTATGTAACTGTACTTCTCGGTGGATATTTACAGTTACGCTAATTGTTTGCTATTACAAACAGTTGAATGACCTTGCATATATAACATATTTTTGCATATGTGTAGTGTGTCTGTAGGATAAATTTTTGGAAGTGGATGTCGTATGCATTTTAAAATGTAAAAGCCAGTTTCCTTTCATAGAGCTGGCCCTGGTGTACATACACCTTCACCAGTCATACATGCGAACGTCTACTTACTCACATTTTCACCAAGGCAGTGCATTATCTATTTTATTTTGGCCCTTTTGATTGGTAAAAATGGCGTCTCATAGCTTTAATATGCATTTTGCATCGATTCCTATGTTTAAGAGTCATTATAACATCATTGTCTGATGTTACAGTTTATAATAGTGTACAATTTACATAAAATGCACAAACCTTAAGCAACTAACATGACAGATTTTATGACGTATGTAGACCCCCGTAACACTACTGAGGTCAAGATCTAGAATATTTCTGTTGTTCCTGAAAGCTCCTTTGTGCCCCTTTCCCGTCAATACCACTAACATATTGTTATCACAATAGCAGGTATCTGCAATTTTCACTTGTAGCACTACACATAAGTTCTGTCCTTTTTTTTTTTTTTTTTGAGACAGAGTCTCATTGTTACCCTCGGTAGAGTGCCTTGGTGTTATAGCTCACAGCAACCTCAAACCCTTGGGCTTAAGCAATTCTCTTGCCTCAGCCTCCCAAGTAGCTGGGACTACCAGTGCCCACCACAACGCCCAGCTATTTTTTGTTGCAATTGTCACTGTTGTTTAGCTGGCCCAGGCTGGGTTCAAACCCACAAGCCTCAGTGTATGTGGCTGGTGCTGTAACAACTGTGCTATAGGCACTGAGCTGTTCTGTCCATTCTTGAACTTCATAGAAGAGAATAATATAATGTGTACTCTTTCGTGTTTGAAGTTTTTTAACGTGTTTTTGAGATATATTGACATTCTATTATTTTATTTATTTATTTATTGAGACAGAGTCTCAAGCTGTCACCCTGTGGAGAGTACCGTGGCATCACAGCTCACAGCAAACTCTTGGGCTTAAGTGATTCTCCTGCCTCAGCCTCCCAAGTAACGGGCATGCACCACCACACCTGGCTAATTTTTTCTATTTTTTATAGAGATGGGGTCTTGCTATGTTGTCTAGATTGGTCTTAAACTCCTGGCCTCAATTGATCCTCCTGCCTCACCTTCCCAAAGTGCTAAGATTACATGTGTGAACCACCACATCTAATCTTTTAGTTGTTAATTTATGAGAGTTTTTGTTTTTTTTTTGAGACAGAATCTGAGGCTGTTGCCCTGGGTAGAGTGCTGTGACGTCACAGCTCACAGCAACCTTCAACTCTTGGGCTTAAGCAATTCTCTTGCATCAGCCTCCCAAGTAGCTGGGACTATAGGCGCCTGCCACAGTGCTCAGCTATTTTTTGGTTGTAATTGTCATTGTTGTTTGGCAGGCCCGGGCTGGATTCGAACCTGCCACCCTCGGTGTATGTGGCTGGTACTCTAGCCCCTGAGCTACAGGCACCTAGCTGAGAGTTTTTTTATGTAGTAAGACTATTAATCTTTGTTGTAAAAATTTTAGGTTTTTTATTTAATAATTAAGTGTTTTTATTTTAGAAAAGTTTTAAATCTAAATCAAAAAGAACAGAAACACCCAAAATCCTACAGTCCGCGATAGCCGACATTAGCATGTTTTTCTGTGTAGGGTATGCATATATACATATACATAATGTACAGGTTGAGTGTCCCTTATCTGAAATGGCTGGGATCAGAAGTGATTCAGATTTTGAAATATTTGCATTGTTCTTACCACCTGAGCATTCCTAATCTGAAAATCCAAAATCTTAAATGCTCCTTTGAGCACAACCTTTAAGCATTTAAAAAATTTTGGATTTTAGAACATTTTAGATTTTAGATTTTCAGATTAAAGATATTCAACCTGTAGGTATAGGCGTATGTGTGTGTGTGTATGTATACAATTACAGAACTAGAATCATCCTTTTCATCCTTTATGTAAATTTTAGTGTTTTGGGAATAGTATGTTTGCACACTATTAAAGAAAACCGAAAAACCTTTTTAGGCTGGGTACGGTGACTCATGTCTGTAATCCCAGCATTTTGCGATGCTGAAGCGGAATTGCTTTAGGTCAGGAGTTCAAGACCAGCTTGAGCAACATGGCAAGACTCTATCGCTGTAAAAAATTTAAAAAACTAGGTGAGGGTAGTGACACATGTCTGTAATCCCAGCTACTTGGGAGGCGGAGGCAGGAGCATTGCTTGAGCTCAGGAATTGGAGGTTATAGTAAGCTGTGATGATGCCACTGCACCCTAGCCTGGGTGACGGAACAAGACGCTGTCTTTAAAAAAAAAAAAAAGAGGAAGAAGAAAATAAGAAGATGGACTCTATAATAAAACAACTTGACAAATTGCAGTCTCTTCACACTAAATGGCAGGAAAATACAACTGAGAAATTTGTCACTTATGGTAGAGAACAAACATGGTCTCATTTATCTTACCATCTAACCAGAGATTTACCTTTACATAGTTTTTTTTTTTTTTTTCTGAGACAGAGTGTATGTTGCCCTCAGGAGAGTGCCATGATGTCACAACTCACAGCAACCTCAAACTCTTGGACTCAAGCGATCCTCTTGCCTCAGCCTCTCAATTACCTGGGACTACAGGCACCCACCACAACTGCCTGGCTATTTTTTTGTTTGGTTGTTTGTTTAGCAGGCTGGGGCGGGGATCAAACCCACCAGCCCTAGTACATGTGGCTGACACCCTAACTACTGAGCTACAGGTTAGATGCCAAGCCAGGGATTTACCTTTAATTTGAGTAGGTATCAAATATGTTCTTTGTTGGCTGGATGCGTTGGCTCATGTCTATAATCCTAGCACTCTGGGAAGCTGAGGCATGTGGAGCCTCAGGAGTTTGAGACCAGCCTGAGCAAGAGCAAGACTCCATCTCTACTAAAAATAGAAAAACTAGCCAGGTGTTGTTGTGGGCACCTATAGTCCCGGCTACTTGGGAGGCTGAGGCAGGAGGATCACTTGAGCTCAAGAATGTGAGGTTGTTGTGAGCTATGATGATGCCACAGCACTCAACCCCAGGGTGACAGAGCGAGACTCAGTCTCAAGAGAAAAAAAACAGCCAGGTGCAGTGGCTCATGCCTATAATTCTAGTACTCTGGGAGGCTGAGGTGGGTAGATTTCCTGAGCTCACAGGTTCAAGAAGAGCCTGAGCCAGCCTGAGACCCCATCTCTCTCTAAAAGTAGCCAGGTGTTGTGGCGAACACCTGTAGTCCCAGCTACTTGGAAGGCTGAGGCAAGAGAATCACTTAAGCTCAAGAGTTTGAGGTTGCTGTGAGCTATGATGCCATGGCACTCTACTGGGGGGGTGACAAAGTAAGACTCTGTCTCAAAAAAAAAAAAAAGAAAAAGAAAAAACAAATTGTATGTTCCTTTTTAAGCTTCTTGAGTTGTAAGTATTTTGTATCTTTAGCATTCTTTTCCACAAGCAAGATTAACAACATACAACCTGAATTAAACAAAGCACTTGTAGATCTGAACGATTTGCTTCACAGTTCCTCTTCAAGCTGGTTCTCTTCTTTTTTTTTTTTTTTTTTTTTTTTTTATG